TTTTTTTTTTTTCAATTGCTCAATTATTATCACAATTACTTTACCTTTACTTATTTATTTATTTTTTCTTGCCATACTGTGTTTTCTGTACAATTTTTTATAAAAAAAAAACTAAAATTGCTTAAAAAATTTTATTGGTGGTATTGGTTGCAGAAAACTGCATGTTGTGTGGGAATAACGGTATGTCATCAGAAAAACAGGATTCATCCGTTCCACAAATTGCTAGTCTTAGCTCACTAAATGCTAACTATATGGATATGGAACAAAAGAGCTTTCAAGATTATCCACCTCCATCTTACAACCCGGTAAACTGCTATCCGTCGTTGCCGCCAGATTTTTCACGGACAACGGCACCTCCGCCGGTTCCGCCAACATATCCCTACTATCAACCTTCGCCATTCCAGTCATCGACGTCAAATTCTGGATACGTGTCGGCGACACAACAACAAAATCCGTATTTATTTCATCAGTCCGCCAGTTCACCAGAAGGTTTCTACATTTCTAGTTTTTAAGTTGAAAAACAATTTTTTCTTTTCATAATTTATTTACTATTTTTTTTTTCTTCTTTATTAGTATTATTATTATTTTTTTTCGTTAGTGCTGTGAACTTTTTAACTGAATCATCTGTGCACAGATTCTACAAATATTAGTTTTTTTTTCGTTTTTCGTTTTTTTTTCTTTCTTTTTTTGTCTCTCCTTTATTGTTTATTGTATAAACGTAATTTTTTTATCTTGCTAAAATTTATAAGGATTTAATTATGGCGTTTCGCAAATTGGCTCTTTTGCTTTTTTACAATTTATCATTACTAATTTTTGCAATCGAAATTTTCCATCGAACCATCTCAATCAATTTAATACTCTCTTAATTTTTTAATGCTTTATTTTTATCGATTGAAGTTTCACAAAGATTTCAGTTTATTACATCACTTGTCTTATGTTTCGTTTTTTTTCTTCTATTTTTTTGAATCTATTGAAAAAAAAAAAACAAAGATTTGGGTTGTAGCATACAAAAGGATACTGTTAGCTACTACAACATTACATTGTACTTACCAGGTTTCTTAATTTTATCTAGTCTGCCTACATTGTTTAGGTTCACCATTTTGATGTTTAACTATATGCTAACTGTTCACCGACGTCCATGCATTTGCAGAGCATTCAACGAAGATAATTGAGGGCGGTGAAGTGCGGATCAATGGTAAAGGTAAAAGGGTACGGAAGCCACGAACCATCTATACCAGTCAGCAGCTTCAGGAATTGCAAAGGAGGTTCAACAAATCTCAATATCTAGCGTTACCAGATCGAGCAGAGTTGGCGGCTCGACTAGGACTAACTCAAACTCAGGTTAGTTTTATGAGCAATCTTCCAATCTTCTCAACGTCATTTACCTTCTTTTTCTGAATTCTTCTCAATGTTCTTATTCCTGTGCGCTCGTCGTTGTTGATTTACAATTTCTTCTTGAATACAAAGATGCTCGGTTTTTATTTTTGGTTAGATATATTTCATTTTTTCTTTTGCTTCATTTGTTTCTTACAGATTTAATTATTTTTATAATAATTTTTTTTTTTTTGTTTCTTTTAATTGATTTAGATGGGTGACAAATTTAATGGTCTTTGGTGTTGTCGAAGACACCTTCAGTAATTAACAATTATTTAACATGATAGATTACTGCTTTTAACAGTAGTGTGCTTTTTGGTAAGCCAAATTTACCTTTATTGTAGCTTTTAGAAGAAAGTTTTTTCTACAACAATTTTTTGAGTGCACTAATTTTCTTAGCAGGTGTTCGAATAGTTTCTTTGAATTTTTTTTGTGAAAAGATAAAGATAAAATCGAACAAAAATTTGTTATACATGTCTATTGATCTATTATTTTTGTCAAATATTCTTTATTGATTATATATATATATATATATATATATA